GCTTGGAATTTATTTTCGCTTTTTTCGCTGAAGGGATGATTCCGTGAAAATAAAATCCAGTGAATATACTTTTTTTCCTATGTTTCACATTAAACTCATCAAAAATCAGTGAAAATAAATTCCAAGCAAAATGCCCAAAAAGCTGTTTCAGCGAAAATTAATTCCAGCGAAAATAAAGTATTCCACAATATGTCTCGTATTAGTAATATTAGTAAACACTATGAGGCACAAGTTGTGACTATCAATGACAATAATACTCACTTTAAAAATCATAAATTGTTATGAAAAGGCTGCTGTTATAACAACAAAAGTAAGAGAATAAGTGACCTTTAGGGGTAATGGAAGTGGACTCCATTAATCCCTAACCATCACGCCTACTGATGTACACAAGTACATGAAAATATAGAGAAAACAAATGAAAAACACTGTTTCAGGAGTTCAGAGCACGAGACAATTATGATCAATACGGGTCTTGAAGCAGAGAATAGAGGAATTTTGTTTTTGACGTAGTGCAGATATTGTCCTCAAATGAACAATGTAATGAACTGTCAGTTGTAAACCTTGTAACACAGGTTTACTAAACGGTCCCGACTGTCCTATGAAATTTTTATTCAGCTATTTTATTGTGTATCAGTTTTGTGTAAAACCTAGGACAAACTGTTCAATTTCATGAGAGAAATTTTAATGTAAAAAATACTATTTTCGCTTCCTATATTTTGCATTCAACTCGTCTAAAATCAGTGAAAATAAATTCCATACAAAACACCCGAAACATCCTTCCAGCGAGAATTAATTCCAGCTAAAATAAATTATTTTACAGAAGCAATGAAAATATGTTTCAGGAGTTTAGTGCATGAGACAATTATGATCAATATGGGTCTTGAAGCAGAGAATAGAGGCATTTTGTTTGTTGACAAAGTGGAGATATTGTCCTCAAATGAATAATGCCAGCAGTAAACTTTGTAACACAGGTTTACTAAACGAGACTGTCCTATGAAATTTTTATTCAGCTATTTTTTATTGTGTATCAGTTTTGTGTAAAACCTAGGACAAAAATCTAATATAAACTGTTCTATTTCGTGAGAGAAATTTTAATGAATTTCACAAGACAGTGTAAATCGCAGAATTTTGTAGCAGTGAAAATTTCTCTTGTGTCCTACGTCAGAGTATTAGTGACTTTTTGCAAAACTAAATCATAAAAATTCCTAGCAAAAAAATTTTAACTTTTCACAATAAATCAGGCAAGAAAAAGTCTCAACATGTCTGATGAGAACACTGTTAAAGAAAATCTATTTGGATTGGTATCAGTGAATGGCACTAAAGGTCTTGATGTTATCACAAACATCAGAACCAGTAAAATATATTAGTCAGGAATGACTAGCATGACTTGACACTCAGCATTCAGTGTACGTCTGCCTGCTAAGGATTTAGGGAGTTAAAATACTGTAGGAATATACCTTTTTTCCTACATTTTACATTCAACTTGTCAAAAATCAGTGAAAATAAATTCCATACAAAACACCCAAAAAGTCTTTCGGAGAAAATAATTTCCAGCTTAAAGTGCCTGTGAAATGGCTGCTATTTTCACGCCTAAAATTATCATTTGATACATAAATATTATTAATTTTTATGTTTCTAAGCATGAATTATTTTTTTAGGTGAAAAAATGTGTTTTAAACTCAGTCTACGGCAACTTTATTTTTGTGTATTTTAAAACGAAGCTCCTCATTAGCTTCTCATTTGCATACAGAAATTCCCCTTGTGACGTCAGAAGGGGAAGTCGCATGGCAGCTTGCATTGCCGATACGTGTAAATAAGGCAAATTTCTTGTGCAGTTTTCTCGTCTTTGACTAAATTGTCACTTATGTACTTGTTCGTCGAGGAAGAATGGACCATAATGAACACATAGTATTAATTTTTGTTGCATGGGGTTGAGTTAGATGCGAAAT